TTCCAAATTCTTGCAATTTTCTTTTCAGAGTTTGCCTTCTCTCCTCAAAAGTTCCAAATACGTTGCACAATTGGCCCGGCTATTTCTTTGGCTGTTCCAACAGCTCCATCACCTGATATCAAAGTATCATTAGCTTATATAGAGGAACACTAAGAACCAATTTCCTACAGTCCTCCCTTTTAAAACATTATCTACGGTTGAGTAAAGAAAAGACAAACACGTCAGAAATACCCAGGAATACACTCAAGTACTTTAGAAACTAGAATTCATCCTCCGGTTGAATAATTTTAACGATTAGAATTTTCATTTATCCTAACATGAAAATGTGGATTTGCAAATTATTTCATTTATTGAATGTGCACTTTTATACGCAGTTTATCTTCATTATTATGTTTTATATGTATTCATTTATCTTCATTTGAATTTTAATTAATAGCAGTTGTTTTTTCGTTTAAATTTCTACTTTACTAATATATTTTAAGTTTCTAGAGGCTGCAATTTAATATAAAGTTCCCTAAAGTATTATTTTGGTACTTGTCCTAGAATCTAACAGGAACTCCTCAGGGTTGCTGGTTGAACACTGGGAATTATGAATTTTGATTTCTTTAATCATTCCAAACCAGAAAAATTCATTATAACATTATATATCAGAAAATATACCCAAATTTGAAACATTACTATCAAGGACTTCTGGAATCAAATGGTTAGAGTTCTCCAACGAAAAGCTTAACCAAACTAAAGAATTTAGAGCAACTCAAGTTCTTTATGCACCATAAAAATCAACGGAAAAGTAGAAGTGGGGCGAGACGAACAGGCCTCATGTACCTGGAATATAAATTTTGATTATAGGTAGCGAAGAAAGGAGCAAGCGAAGTGAAGATGCAGAGTTAAATCCAAAGAAATGTTTGGACGCGAAGGCATTTCAAGTAACAGAACAAAGACGGTGATAAGATCGTTGTTTGCGTTCAAGGAACGACGAAAAGAAGTCAACTTCCAATAACATGAGTTCATCAACTTTTTTTTTTTTATAATAATATTTTTTATTTACTTAATCCAAAATTATACAACTTTTGATTCTTTGAATTCTATTAATGACTCCAAATTAC